TGTGTGTGTAAAATCCCACTATATAACACACACACACACACACACACACACACACACACACACACACACACACACACACACACACACACACACGTGTCTGTGTGCCATGTATAGAAATACTCAGTATCATCCCGTATATTTTCCCAGCATCTGGAGCTCCCTCGTTCCTTCGTAATAAAAGCTACAATAAAGTCGAAGCTTCTGTGTTATTCAAAGCGCTTCTGGACCATAAGACTCACCGTCTCCTTGCTGGAGCATCTGGACACCTGCGCGTCGCTGCGGGCGGAGGTCACGCTGTAGATGCTGCCGGACACCGACCCGCGGCTGCTCATGGTGCCCAGGCTCTCCTGGCTGGCCACGCGCCCCCGGGACTCCTGGGGGAGGGGAGGGGGAGGGTTAGAGGATGCTCATGTATGGCTAAAACCGCATGCAAATGCATGCACACACACACACGCCTATGTGTGTGTGTGTTATTATATATATATATATATATAATATATATATATATATATATATATATATATATATATATATATATATATATAATATATATATATATATATATATTATATATATATATATATATATATATATATATATATATATATATATATATATATATATATATATATATATATATATATATATATATATATATATATATATATATATATATATATATATTATATATATATACATATACATATCCGCCAAACCACTTTGTTATCGAAGTGGATACCTCACAAAATCTATTATTACCTAAAACATGACTATTAAATTTGCATCAAACAAATAAAGGCGTTAGTCACTCTACAGTATAAGACACACACATGAATTTAAAACATAAGCATTTAAAGTATATTGCATGTCGCACAGATGCCCAAATCAACGCGGACACAGAGGCCCAAGATCGGTCACACTGATGAGGTTACAACAAGAAAGAATTCGTCATTTGGTAAAGATTTTGACGAGCATGACGCTATTTCAAGGAGATGGAGTGTACCTTTCTCCCCAGAACGTATTTGATCGATGTGCCTTGAGTTTAATGTGTGTGTGTGTGTGTGTGTGTGTGTGTGTGTGTGTGTGTGTGTGCGTGCGTGCGTGCGTGTGTGTGCGAAGAGAGGGAGAGGGGGAATACTATGCACATAGTATATCTGCGCGAAGGAGTAAAGGCAGCCAGGCTGAGTTACAGCGAAGCGAATGAACGAGCGGCACCAATCACAGATTTCCTCATCCTTCCCTTGCCCTTTGACCTTCCCTCCAATCTGCCTCCTGAAGACCCATCTCTTTCCCATCACCTCTAGTGTTCCTCGGAGCTCTTCATCCAATTAGTTTCTGACTGATGGTCTATAGAAGGTTGCAGATCCAATAATGTTCCAAATTCAACGTTATGGAAACCTTCCATACGTTATTTTCACCTTTCCTTCAGATTTCCGATCGTTGTCCCCCGTGATTTAACCAAGCACTAAATCAACAGAATAATACACCTTAACAGAATAATAAACACCAAATATAGCAAACCAGCAAAACGCATCAAGGACAGTTTTAAATGCTTCGACGGGTCAAGGACGTGTTTTACTTTCTCCCAATTAGTACCGTGTAATAAAGGCCTGACCCGCCCCTGACTGGAACGGCCGCCCCAACACCTGGCACCATCTTCAGCATCTGGGCCACGTCTAACGGGGATTCACGATGCCATTCGCTGACGGCGCGTTGGTGACCTCACTTGGTTCACAACAGTCAACTGCCATTTTTTGTATTTCTGTTCCTGGTTTTCGCTCGTCGCTTCTTCCGTTGCGTTTCTGTCAGTCTCTGTTTCTTTCTCTCTCTCTCTTCTCTCTCTCTCTTCTCTCTCTCTCTCTCTCTCTCTCTCTCTCTCTCTCTCTCTCTCTCTCTCTTCTCTCTCTCTCTCTCTCTCTTCTCTCTCTCCTCTCTCTCTCTCTCTCTCTCTCTCTCTCTCTCTCTCTCTCTCTCTCTCTCTCTCTCTCTCTCTCTCTCTCTCTCTCTCTCTCTCTCTCTCTCTCTCTCTCTCTCCTCTCTCTCTCTCTCTCCTCTCTCTCTCTCTCCCTCCTCTCTCTTCTCCTCTCTCTCTCTCTCTATACTCTCTTCTCTCTCTCTCTCTCTCTTCTGTCTCTCCTCTCTCTCTCTCTCTCTGCTCTCTCTGTCTTTCTGGCGTCTCCGCGCCGCCACAACCTGCACCGACATGCAGACGTGCGATCGAGAAAAACAATGCAAGGATCATTCCTTCCTTATATTCTAGTTTCGGCGCGCGGAGGTTCCGGTCCCCTTCCTCTTTTTATCTTTCCCTCTCACTCTCTTATCTCTCTTATTTCCATTTTCCAACTTCCGTCGGTAAAAAATTATCCACGCCTCTATTCACTTAATACTATATGCATTCCATTTCTTGTTCACTTATCTGACAGCCAAGTAGGGATAAGCTTGGATCTTCGCCGACCGGGAACGAGCGCTTGGATCCGTTCTTGCCACTCCGACATCAGACGTGATCCGAACGCAAGGATCATTCCCTCCTCTCAGTACATTCTGTTCCCCGCGGGAGTTCCGTCCCCTCTTCCCTCTTTTTATCTTCCCCTCTCCCCTCTTTTCTCTCTTATTTCCATTTCCAACTTTCCGTCGTAAAAAAAAATATATCCACCCTCTATTTCACTTAATACAATTGCATTTCCATTTCTCGTGTCACCTTATCCTCCAGCCAAGTTAGGATAAGCCTTGATCTTCGCCGACCGGGAACCAGCGCTTGGATCCGTTCCCTTAGTGGCCAACGGTGCAATAGCCAGTATTGTTCTGCTGTATCTTTTTTTTTCTAAAAGCAAAGAGCAACTACCTATCGTGTTAGAGAGCAATTATCTACGGTGTTAGAGAACTAACTATCAGTCGTGTTAGAGACAACTATCTATCTGTTAGGAGCAATTATCTACGGTTTGAGACAACTTCAACGTGTTAGAGAGCAACGTATCTATCGTGTTAAGAGCTAATTATCTATCGTGTTAGAGGGCAACTATCCATCGTGTTAAAGAGCAACTATCTATCGTGTTAGAGGCAACTATCTATCGTGTTAGAGGGCAACTATCTATCAACTATCGTGTTAGAGGGCAACTATCTAATCGTGTTAGAGGGGCAACTATCTATCGTGTTAGAGGGCAACTATCCAATCGTGTTAAAGAGCAACTATCTATCGTGTTAGAGAGCAACTATCTATCGTGTTAGAGAGCAACTATCTATCGTGTTAGAGCAACTATCTATCGTGTTAGTGTTAGAGGCAACTATCCATCGTGTTAAGAGCAACTATCTATCGTGTTAGAGAAGCAACTATCTATCGTGTTAGAGAGCAACTATCTATCGTGGTGTAGAGGGGCAACTCTATCGTGTTAAGAGGGCAATATAATCGTGTTTAAAGAGCCTATCATGTATCTATCGACTCGTGTTAGAGAGCAACTATCTATCGTGTTAGAGGCCAACTATCTATGTAGAGAGCAGTATCTATCGTGTTAGAGGGCAACTATCTCTATCGTGTTAAGGCCACTATCTGATCGTGATTAAGAGGCAAAGCTGTCGTATCGTGTTAGATCTTAGTCGTGCGTTTAGTAGAGGGCAACATCTATCGTGTTAGAAGTCCGTGTTAGAGGGTAACTATCTATCGTGTTAGAGGGCAACTATCTAGCGTGGGTTAGAAGGGCTACCTATCTAAAGGGTGTTAGGGCAACTATCCATCGTGTTAGAGAGCAACTATCTATCGTGTTAGAGAACAACTATCCATCGTGTTAAAGAGCAACTATCTATCGTGTTAGAGAGCAACTATCCATCGTGTTAAAGAGCAACTATCCATCGTGTTAGAGGCTAACTATCATCGTGTCAATGGTAAGACATATTAGTGTTAGAGAGCAACTATCTTTCGTGTTAGAGAGCAATATCTATTCGTGTTAGAGGGCACTATCTATCGATTACTTTGTGGTAAGGGACAATTACCTTTTGTGTTAGAGAGCAACGATCATGTTATAGAGCAACTATCTATCATGGTAAAAAAGCAGCTATCTATCGCGATTGTAACCATCCCTGCTGAAAGCCGGCAACAAAGACACAAGTAACAACAGATCCCATTGACAGGATATAAAACATACGCACATCATACATAAACCGGCTGTGCTGCCCTTCGGAGCGCCTCCACAGCGCCGCCGCCGCCAGCCGCTTTCGCCACTGGACCGCCAAGGGAAAGACCACGCACTTCTCGGTGCTTGTTGCTGGTTCTTGGTTGTATGTCGAGTTGCTTACTTCAATACGCTTAGGGTCATTAGATTAAACCGTGTGATTTTTTAAAACATTTTAACAAGGAATTGATGCAAGTGCGGCATTTAATTCAAACGCGGAAAAATATTTTTTTCTCATATTTTCGATTTAGATCCTGTCCGGTATCGTCATTTCAAGTCATGCAAAAATTTATATATATTATATAGTTATATATATTATAGTATAATATATATAATAGTATATATATTAATATATATTGTAGTATACTATCTGTGTGTGTGTGTGTGTGTGGTGTTGTTGTGTGTGTGTGTGTGTGTGTGTGTGTGTAATACATATATAATTGGACTTTGCAAATAGTTTTCCTGAATAAAATATGTAATTTCACATTATCGTAATGTCATTCGCCTTTTCATCGTAATACGATTTACGTAACACAATTTGCATAGTTTTCTTTTTGATGTAATTACCTAACTTTAGGTATTCACTTTACACGCGAATAATGACTACATGAGAATTGGCACGAGCCTTCATCTCACGATCTCACTTTCATAGAGAGAATGTTACGGGTTTGTGTTAATTGACCTGTCAAGCTATACGTCTCTGTCAAGTTCAGTGTTTTCCGCTTTTTTATAATCGCAATACTAAATTGAATGTTATTTTGCGAGCCTTTTTGCATGACTTTACCGCGATGAATGATTAGTTTTCATCGATTATCATTATTGTTTAAGCTATCAAAGGGTATTCAGTTTTCAGCGTCCCGGAAACCTATAGTTAGTGACGTAGCTCTAGACTGCGAATACAGTTATACAATCTGAGATGTTTGTACATTCCTGTCCGAGTTTTCATTGTTCCATGTGAGGTCAAACCCTCAACCTCCATGCCCTGATGTCTCTTACCGACGTATGAGGCCGCTGCTGCTCTCCTGCCCTGCTCTCTGTTTCCTCATCTTCCCTTTTACTCGAATTCTTACCGATATAGCCTACTGATATATCTCGTCGCCAAGTGATGAGTCTTACTTCACTTGTTCCCGTCGAAGATGTCTGCTATTCCTCCCATTTCCCGGAAACGCAGCCGCCGCCAGCACCGCCTAAAACCCAGAAACAGCAGCGCG